TTCATGGATACCGATGAACTTTGATTTCTTCAAACCCAGTTTTCCTTTTTTTGTGTGTGGTGGTGCTAACAACTGAACCCATGACTCATCCTTGTTAGGCAAGTTTGCTATCACTGAGATAGGCTTTCTCAAGCTCCATTTTATATGTGCAATGCAGATTTTAGAACGAGACATTTAGATGGGCTGTTGGGCAACACTTGTATTTTCCTATTGCAGTGTTATGAAACAGTGAAAACTCACCATAGGAGCAAAGTGCACACACATCTTTAAGGAACTTGACATATCCCTACAAGCCATTTTCAAAAAGATTATCCCAGTAGTCTGGGATGCTAGGTCTAGCAAAATCTTCAAAACAAAACAATGCTAGAAAAGTACATTGAATACTGGAATATAGCTCATCAATATTTTCCAGCTGAAAGCTACTGAGGATAAATGAGTCACCTTCAAAGGTAATGAACTTGTCATTGTGAATTAGAGGATGAAGACCTAGCACAGTTTTTTTGTTTGTTTGTTTCAAAAGAAGAGCAAACACCAGATGAGATATGACCAGGTGATAAGAATACTGAAAATCATCATCATCATTATCATCATTACCATTTTCAGTCTCATCATTATTGTCATCATCATCATCATCATTATGATCACCACCCCCATCATCATCATCAGAGGAAAGGAATCAAGGTAGAAGATACCATTTTTAGACCCTCACTCCGGGTCAAGTTGTGTATCAGTTTGTAACAAATGAACTTACTTCCTTACAACTCCCCCCAAGGAAGGTGCTCATGTTTCAGTTATGCAGGGAAAAAAACAAAGGTTGACAAAAGTTATAAAATTACTTTAAAAAATACTTATCCAGCAATGACAGCAAGGTCTGCACCTAGGTTCAATGGCACAGTGTGTGTGCTTACCCATGCTGGGGCACCTTGTCTTGAGATAGGTCACTGCTAAGACCTTCATTTAGCTACATTTCTATAATTCTTTGTGAGCATAGTAGATTAATTTATTTTTGAAAAAGTAAGTTTTCTATAGGATAAAATATTCTTAAAGACACTGAAATACTTATAGGATATAGAAAATAATTTTTAAAATTTTATTTTCCCAGTACAAGCTAACTTTTTTTTGCCTGTAATATGTGTATGGTATGTGCGCATTTATTTGAGTTCAACTGTGTGGGGGTAGAGGTGTGTGTGTATGTGTGTGTCCTCAAGTTTATGTCAGGTGTGTTTCTCAATAGCTGTCCACTTTATTTATTGAGGCAGAGTCCCTCATTGAACCTGGAGCACAATGATTTTGGAAAGTCAAGATAGCCAGTGTGTTGCCAGGATCCCCTTTCTCTGCATCCTGAGTGCTGAGTTTATAGGCAGTTCTCATAACTCTGGTCTTCATGTGTGCATGGCAAGAGCTTTATCCTTCAGCCATCTCCCAGGCCCATGTTAAAAAAGAAAGTAATGCATTCTCTATCATCTCTCTTCTTAAATTCCTCAAGTGACTATGGGGAACCATATTTTTCCTTAAGTGTGGTTTGAACTGCTTTCCCAGTATATAACTTTCCATTTTCAATAAGCCCAGAATATTGTAGGTGCTTGGTAAATTCCTTTCTTTGAATTGAGCACATGTATCATCGAAGTGGAGCATCTTGAGGAAGACAGTAGGGAGGCTTTCCGAAGGAGGAGTCTTCTGTCCAAAATGACTCTGAGGAAAGGTCTCCTTCCTATTCATTAATTAAACCTGCCTATCAGTAGGTCTCATCAAAAATTGATATTTAAAAATCGAAAAGCAATTACATTACATTAAAATAAGTACTTAAATGCAGAGTTCTATGGAATTATTTCCTTTAATTGTACTGTCTGTGTAAACATATTCAAATATTATATCTAGAATACACTGTCATAGGAAATCAGGAGAAGATTCTTCCCCATTAATCTCCATTTCAATCTGCTTTCTGAGTAACAGAATATTCTACCAATTAGAGGCTGAACATCCATGTGGCTAAATGTTGAAGGCCAGAGATTTTCACTGAATTCTCATGCAATATTTCTTATAAAGATGAACACTGTTCCATGAATTTTTCTTCCTGAGTGATTGCTATCACACTCATCAAATTGCAGTGATTTTACCACAGCTGCAATCTTCACTAATGAAATTGGATGTGGTATTGAACACTGGGCAGATTGCTTAACTAGTCTCAATTCTTCTCAGATCAGTGAAACACAAAACCAACCCAGAGTCAAGTGTTGCTCTGTTACTCATCCTCACTTAAAGCTGCTCACCAACCTTATCCAACTGGGCAGGAGAAGAGGGAGATCACCTGTCAAACACAGCAGAGCAATGGGGGCACGACACAACAGTCCTATGGAGGAGGATCTTCTAGGCTGGTACATAAAAATAAAACCAAAAGTACTGATAAGGTGTAGATGACAGAGTGGAGAACAGACGCTGCTGGGTTTCCATTGCAATATAGCACAGATGAGGCATCACTGGATGTTGGAATTCAGTGGTACCCGACCATCATGCCTTCCATTTCCTTGACAGCACAACTTCAGTTTTGCTCAGGTGCCGTTTTTCTCTCCATGCAGAGAGGAGAGCCTGTAGACCAACTCCAAACATCTGCGAATCTTGCGTCTTTATCTTTTTCTGCCAACATATTTGTTTTTTCCCTGTGATATTTCAACAAGATGCAAATTCCACCCTGGCTGCCATGCCTAGCAAACAGTTCCCTATTTCTTTCTCTGTGCTCCAACATCCTTCAAGAGAGAAATGGTAAAGTCTATGCCCTTGAACCACTTCTCACAGCTCTTCCCCAACAAAAATGGCTTAAGTTGGATATTAAGTAGATGTTTTTAAATAAAGAACTTCTTAAAATGACAAAAAATCTAATGCTTAACATTTCTTAAAATGAATATCATATCTGACTTATGTGTATGAAGTTCTGAGAAAAGTAGCAACAGAAAAGAGATCAGCAGCTGCTTTGGGGACAGGGGAGGAGAGAGAGGCTTTGGTGGATAGAGGGTTCAAAAAAGGGACAGGAAGAAACCCCTAGAGAAGTTGGATGTGTTTATTATTTCACATGTACATGAATATGTCAAGATGCATAAAATTATACAGTTTCAATATGCAGAGTTTATTATATGTGAATTATTCCTCAAGGATACCACTAACAACTTTAGATACTAGATACAAAAATGTAGACTCAATATTTGGAAGGAGAAGAAAACATGTAATGCACATTTGTAAAATAAACAAACAAAGGCATTCATGGGAAATACTTGGAAATGTATTTAACTGTTAACAGCGATTGATCTCCCGAACAGATGTAAGGGAGACATTTCACTTTTAGTGATTCACCTGTTTAATAGTAATGCCACTGAGACTCAATATGTTTGAGGCAAAACAACTGGGCTGGAGAATGCAGTATAGAAAACCCAGGCAATTCTCATGTCTACATTTATATTCTTCAACCCATAAGGAAGTAAAATACTAAGCATTGTAAACCAGAAGGGGTGGGTGTCTGTGTGCTGTTTCTACATAACTGTTGTGCTAAGTAGATTGCTTGAAGAGGTCTTTCCAAAAAATGACAAATGAACTGAGACCAGAAAGATCACAAACAGCCCCCCTAAGAAAAACGCATGTTGAGAATTTGGCAGCCCTTGCTGAAGACTTTGGATTGCATTCCAGATGTGACAAGAGTGGAGATTGTTTCCTGAGAAGTATGGAGACTTGGCATCGTGAGGACCAAAGTGGTTGCACTGTGGGTGGATGATGTTGAAGAGAAGCAGGCTGTGGGCCTTGAGGAGGCTATAGTAGTGCTGGGGAGGAGGCATGGGCTCTGAGAGAGAATGGCTTGGTTTAGGACCAGATTTCAGGTAGAGCCACATGACTGGCTGGGGGACTTTATGCTTATGTGACTGTCTCTTTCTTTTCAGTGTGTGTGTGTGTGTGTGTGTAAATGTCACATGTGTGTGGGTGCCCATGGAGGATATATAAAGGAGTCAGATGCTCTGGAATGAAAGTTACAGGTGATTAAGAGCCACCCATATGGGTGTTGGGAACTGGACTCTGGTTCTCTGCCAAAGCAGCAAAAGCTCATAACTGCTTAGTCATCTCTCAAGCTTCATTATTTATCTTTGAAACCAAAAATACTTGATTAATAATGGAAAAAGGGAATTTTAGCAATTTTATTTTCTTTAACTCATGATTTGAATGTAAATAATAGTGGTAAAATAATTTTTTGAAATTATTATTTTTCAATTATCTAGTCAAGTGTGATAATACTGGCTAACAGAAGCAAGGCATGTAGAACAGGAATCACTTTTACCAGAAAGAAGAATAAAGAAAATCCTGAAGAAAAAGCTTATATAAGAACTTATGGCTAACAAAATTTCCCAGAATTATAATCATTGCTCTGTTATTTTATTAGTATGTGACATGGAACATCTTATGTGATTCAATTCTCTGACCTGTAAAATGGAGTAGCAAGCCAAAAGGACCAGTCTGTGAATTAAATGAGATAAGGATTGCACATGAAAAGCAGCCTCTGCCTTGTGACTGGACACAACACACAATCCAGAACACAATTTCAGAACAGAGCTGCTGAAAAAGAACTGATCGTAGACAGCACCGCTACAATGCAAACCAAAGTTCTGATCCATTAGTTTTCTCTTTTTCAGAGATGCCTTTGAAATGATTGACAACTCAAAGCGATAGCAATCGTATCCTTCTTAGGAAGAGTACTTAAGGTTTTCCTATATTCCTTCTCTCTTCTGATTTCGAACATCATCTCAAGCTAGTTAGCAGGGGTTGGCACCCTTCTATTATCCTTGAAGGAAATAGGCTCAGAGACGGCCTCTCATTTCTTTACCACACCACACCTGTGATTATAACCCAAGAGTTCAGGTTTTAACAGAAACATCTCATTCCCTGTTCTCTCAGCTGATAGGACAGTAGATATCCCCAGATTTAGATTCCAGAACAATTGTTTTCTTCTCTCATTAGAAACTTACTGGTCGGGACTTGATTTCTTTGGCGTAGAGAGGTTGTAAGAACTCGGAGTCTCCTTCTAGTTTCAGACCTTTTTCTGTGATTCTCAAGTTTCCCATTCCATCCTGAAATAGAGACAGAAAGCAGGGAGAGAGAATGTGATTAGCTAACATTTCAAAATACCCCAGGCTGTCAACGATTCAAACAGTTATTGCCTTTCCTCCCTTCCTTTTTTCTTTTTTAATATTTGCAAGAGTTAGGTGAGGGGAATCTAAAAACATAAAGTACCAGGAGGCACTGTCGATACAATTATGCATAGTATCCCATTTTGCTCACTTATTCAGAGCAAACTCTGTTCTAAGAATGCCCCAGAGCCACTGACTTGCATAAGAGGAGGAGGCCCTTGTCCCCAGGGTGTACAAAGCAAAGGAGGCAGAAGGGAGAAGAGGCTGACTCTATACACTGAAATGAAATACCTTGGTTCCAAATTCCTTAAAGAAACGTCACATCAACAGCTTGTTGGTCAAATCAAGCCTTTTTACATGATTTGTTTGACTTTTCAAACATTTGAGAAGTCTAATCAGTTAATAGCACTTTGATTAGGATTTACTATGTTAATAATAAAACATATTCAAATGTTTACAGTACTAAATATGAGTTTCCTCCCATTGAGTGGGCTTTAAGTCCAATTAGGTAGCTGTTGATTACCCCGAGATAAAAGCACCACCACTGTGCCAATTTCTTTTGCTGTTCTGGTCACTGAGGTGGTTATTAGGCATTAAAGCTGGGGTTGGGCCATCGATTGATAGTCTCCCTTAGCAGCTTGTGTAGTGCTCTCCAAACCTATGAGAGCTGGTCTTGAGGGGAGGTGGCTTTTAGGTCAGTTTCAGCTCCATTGCTCCAAATCCTGTACTGAAGTATGTCCTGTCTTCAGCAATAGGGTCTTACCTTTAAGTTCTGGGAGGCAATCAAGGGCCGTGGCAATAGCCTGTGTAATTCTGGGAGTCTCTTGACTATCCTGACCAACAACTCAAAGGAAGGTTTCTCCTGTCTGGCACTGTTTCTTGCTTTGTAGCATTCAGCTATATACATGGACTCATGTAGAGATATTATATGTGTAATTTGTTAGTAGGTTTTTGGACTTATATGATTACCTCTTTTTTTTTGTTTACACTAGCTAGGCATTATTTATCCCTTTTCTCTCCCCCTATCTAACCTTCCCTCCAAACCTTCCCCATTTACAATATTCCCATTTCCTTCATTTCTCCCTTGATAGTATCTGTCTCCTATGACCTCCACTCTCTTGTGCTCCTTCTTTTCCTTTATCCCCATAATTCCTTGTAGAACCCTCATTCTCCCCATCCCATTTAAATACATCTATTCATAGATCTTAGAGAAAACCCCAAGGCTGTCACATCCCTAGACAAATGTAATTTCTTGCTTTGTGCAAAATATGGATCCTTGTATTTACAGACAAGTATCCCAGTCACCACTCATCAAAGAAGCTTCTTTTGCAACAGATGGAGACTATTACAGAGTTACACCACTCCTCATAAACAGAGATTGTTTGTGCATTTCCAACGCCTAAGTGGTATATCTATGATGCAACCTCTACACCTAAGGATCAGGGAACATAGAATAAGGGGCAAAGAGGACACCAACGCATCTCTCAACTCTCATCAATGAAGCTCCCTCATGCAACAGAGGGTAGGAACACAAAGGGTCACAAATGGCCACAGCATAGAGAAAAAGGGTCTGCAGAGTGTGGGTCCTTGAACAGGGACCATTGTGGAAGATGGGGTGGAAAGATTGTAAGAGCCAGGGAGGAGGTGCATGACCATATGGAAATAGAGTCCTACAGGCTTCTGGGACCTTGCTCATAAGAACCTATAGCAATGGTGTCAGCATGCACAAGACACATGCAAACTCAAGCAGACAAAAACCCAGCACAGAACAGTGGAAATGGACAGCAGGACCCACTCTTAGTCGAAGAACCATTGGTAGCTGATCACTGCTGGGTGAGGGACTGTAGATAGGCTGACGAGACCTCAGTGGATGAAACTACACTGAGGGATGTCTGGGGACACTACCTTGACAGGATAGGCCTTAATGCAAATGACAGAATGTATGAACTCCAGTGGGGGCAGGTATGGGAGGGTGCCAGTGGGGAAGGGGGTTTAAAGATGTTTAAGATTAAGATTTTCTGTATGAAACAGATAAAAATTCAATAAAAATTTACAAACACATATATATTCATTTGTAGTGAGGGTAGTAGGGAACATCTGTGTATTGATCACTCATCTGAAACCAGTACCAATTTATGGTCATTGTTGTGCATCACTTCATCCATAGTATCCCTCATCTTTGTTCAAAAATGATCATAGCACCATCTATGATTGTAATTCCTCCAGAATAATCATTCCTTGATATTAAATGCCAAATATCAAACCATAATAATCAATCTTGTTTTAATATAAAATATCCTCTGTTAAGGTTCACATTTTCTCCTATATATTTTCTCTCTAATAATCTGCTTATATTAATAAGGTTCATACTATTATTGGTTGATATTATAAAGTGCTAGGTAGTTTCCTATAATCTTTAGACAGTATTTGGGTAATGAACTGGTTACCTAGTATTTTCCTAGCCAATGAGATTTTCATATTCAATCATTCTTATATATCCTCTCTCTCTCTCTCTCTCTCTCTCTCTCTCTCTCTCTCTCTCTCTCTCTCTCTCTCTCTCTCTCTCTCCATACCATTATTTTCATAAAATATAATGGCTCTTCTCTAGGACAGTTTCCCAGAGTCTACAGTGCCCATCACCACCTTCCACCTTCAAAGTTAGTAATGGCCAGTTGAATAATCACTAACTACTCTAAAACTAATTTCATTAGGCTTGTGACTTCAATAGACTAATGAGATGGTTAATACTGTAAACTTGACAGAATCTAGGATCACCTAGGAAACAAATCTCTGGGCAGGTCTATAAGGGATTATCTAGATATGGTTAAATGAGGTAGGAAGACCCACCTTAAATGTCAGTGGCATCATTCCATGGGATGGGGTTCTGGACTGAAGAAAATCCAGAAAGCAAGCTGAGCACCCACATGCATCACTTGGCTACTTGAGTGTGGAGGCAGTGTAAGCAGCTGCCCCAAGCTCCAGCTGCCATGATTTCCCTTCCATGTGGGAACTCTCTCAAAATGTGAGTCAAAGTGAACTTTCATCCTTCAGTTGTGTTTGCCAGGCATTTTGACGCAGCAACAAGACAACTGACGAATACAACTAGTTCATGGCAATTCTTCCCTTTATGATCACCTGACCATGAATCTTAATTCTATCTCCAACATTAACACCTCTTAGCCAGTGATGGTAAAATTTTCACAGGATCTGAGAACAGGATGTGGACATCTTTGGGATGGGGGCATTTTTCTGTTTTCCACGTGGGGTATTTTTCTATCAAGAGACATGGACTATCCTTGCTGAGATGCTATCTGCTACTGCTACTCTGTTAAAAGGAGCCGTAATTTATTAGAAGGTATAAAGTAGCTGCAGTCTGATCCCATTATAGTTTCTTCATTTATTAGCTAGGATATTCTATCAAGAAAACTTTAATCTCCTTACATTTTTTTACCCTAAATTACATTTTACAGAAAAACTCAAGATAATTTGAGCTTTCCTTCTCTATTTATTGATATTCAAAAGACTAAACTGAGGGACAGCCCGGAGGATTAGCAGTTCAAAGTTATCCTCAGCTACATGGTGAGTTCCAGGCCAGACTGAGCTACATAAAAATAAAAAAGAAAGAAAGGATTGGTTACCTAATACTCTTCATTCCAATCAGATTCTTACATTTTTAATTCACTATGAATAAGTTATTTCCTTTCTTTCCAACACAAACAGTCCCACTGATTGTCTGACTATCCTGTCTCTGGTCAGAGTTGCCACAAAGCTAACATGTGATTCCTTTTGTCATGACCTAGAAGTCTTTGATGGTGCTCTTATTTGGTAGATGAGATGATCATCCAGGATTAGCTTAAACATGCCTTGCTCTGAGCCTGGACTCGGCTATTTGTAAGTGGAAATCTCTGGGTCATTTGAACAGATATTTATTTAGAAACCAGAAGCTCAGAAATTTCTATACTCATTGGTACTGGATGAGACTTTGTTTCTAGGGCCCAACCTAGAAAATAAAAGTTTGGTTTATTTGTGTTTTTAAGTAAAATACACATGATTTAATAAGAATTTTTACTTCAAATTCAGGGAAGGATTCCACCTTATCTCAGGCTTTACAACCTCCTGACCTTTCTTCCATCCCAGCGGTCCCTGTTTTCAGTAACAACAACATTATCATTCATTTGATTTAATGCACAGTACACACAAAACAGCTTCAGAACTCCAATGCCACCCCAAAGTGACACTGGGACTAATACAAACATTTCAAACTGTTAGTTCTTAAAACCTTTGAAGCATCAACTGCCAGCCAAGTGCAAACTATGTGGATTCAGACACTTGAATGTGGTGTCCTGGCACAACAGTGAAGCTCACTGTCTCTTTTTTCTCTCAATTTCTTTCGTGAATATGTTTTTCAAAGTCCTTTTTGCTTTATGCATTTGTAAAATATGCACATGCTTTCTTTTTATTTATTCTTTGATTCCCACTAACATTTAAATCTGAAATATGTGATAGAAAAACCCAGGTTTGTGAGCATCTCTGGGGACTCTTGGCAACTCTGGGATGGATTTCTTACATACTCACTAGCCACTGCCTGGGTTGGCAGCCTCCCTACTTGGGGACACCACAGACTCTCTCCAGTGCAGTTCACTAAGCTACGTGATCTAAAACTCCTGAAGCAGGTTCCTGTCTCTCACATGGCCATCAGGTGTGCACCTCAAAGAGGTCAATTCCGGAGTCACATGGGGTAGGACTGAATGACCAAATTGGAGATGGACACTTTTCTTCACCCATTTTTCATGAAGGAACATCAGTGTGAAGGTGAGAACAGATCTTAGAAATTCACATTGTTCCTTTGTGACCCACACTCCATCTATACACTCTTATTTCTGGCATTTGTAGGCACAGCCAAGACAGCCCCAGATGGGGCATTCAAACACAGCAGGAGA